TGCTGGTGAATCATGCATTATGATCAATAAAGTCTATTGTATTATCCTAACAGCTATTGAGTAACTGGTAACAGTAGTGTTTCAAATTATGTTACAGGTTATTGTATAGGAACAATTTTGAATCCTAATGTTTTTATTTGTAGCTATTTTTTAGTGTTGTTAACTTTATATGTATGTATGTATGTATGTGTGTATATATATATATATATATATATATATATATATATAAAATGTGTTTGTGTGTATGTATATTGTTAACTTATATATAATAATTTATGTATGTATGTGTGTATTGTATATTGTTATTACTACTATTATTATCAGTTTTAGTTTTCTCTTTGTCCAAGAAAATAGATGATGAAATGGGCTGAACTAGTGTGGCCATATGGCCACATACATACATATATATAATTTATCTCACATATACACTAACATGTATAGAAATTCTCAGAACCGATATGATGCCACATTCATAAAATATATAAACATTAAAAAGTAACATGATATTCCTGTGATATCAAATATATACAAACACTGAAAATAACTAATACATTGTATTTAAAATTTGAGGTACAAAATCTTGAAAGGATGCTATAAAAATGGACTTTGATTCTTAACAATGACTGAAGTCAAAAGAAACCTTGAAATATTAAATCAACTAACATGAACTGTGGACAGATCAATCATCCTTTCAATTCTAATATATAAAAATTGATCTGTCAGAGATAGGACAATGTAATAGACTCTCTCTCTCTCCCTCTCTCTCTCTATATATATATGTAATAATCCAAGTGAATCCTAATAATATTAAAACTGATCCACAAAGAGAGCTCAATGTATTTATTATAATAGAGCATATATAAATAGGTAAATTACATAGAATAGAAATTCAAAATAATATATATATATATATATATATATATATATATATATATATATATATATATATACAGATAGAAATTATTAGGAGGACTTGATAATTATATTTAATTAATTCATCGAGTCTGATAGAAACCTCAACAGAATGCAGAAAGCACTGGATGGCCGTTTCGTCCTATATTTGGGACTCATCAGCAGTGCGCATCCACTACCGAGAATTGAAACCCTGACAGTTAGGTTATCAAGTAAACATCATACCAACTGTTCCAATGGGCCTCGAAGAGATTGCAAATCAGACTCAATATAGCGCCGCTCGCACATATTCCGTGGTGGAACTCTACTGAATTCTCTGTAACCATAGGACTGTGCCCTGGAGTGCTCACGGAATATGTGAGCGAGCGGCGCTATATTGAGTCTGATTTGCAATGTCTTCGTCACCGAGGCCCATTAAAACAATAATCTAATAACTAAATAGCATGAATTTTTTTTTTTTCTGTTATTAAAATTCTATACAGATTTTTAAAATAATAAACATTGTTGAGAGTGTATCAGTAGTCGTGATGAAAAGAGAAAAAAAACCTCTTTTTGATACTATTTTTTTGCGAATTTGAAACTTTTTCAACAAATCTTTATGGAATCTCTACATGACCATGTTGTAAAAACAGTTTAAGAAAGGCTTGGGAATATTCTTATAGTTAGCTCAATCTGGCATAAGACCAAAGTAGAGGAGCACTTATGAGGATCAAAATACAGGGATAGCAATCTTGTAGATGAATTTACCATGAAGATAATGACTGGCTACTCATTTTTGGGCACACATTTGCTAGGGTAGCTTAGCCAATACCTGGTATAGATGCATGTTCAGACAAATTTGCTGAACTCCCAAAGATCCCACATATGGTTTATACTGCAACTATGCTGAGTGGACCTCAGTTGCAGTTTCTTTGGAGAGAGCACATAATCTAGCAGGATTAACAGTTTGAACAAGACCCAGCTACTCAAACTGTTGGTTGTTATGAAACGTGACTTTGTATTAGCACAATCTCTCTCGCACACACACACACACATATATATATATATATATTCTTTACAATTGGAATTAAGATACGTATGAAGGGAGAAGAGCTTGGGTAGGGAGAGAGAAGGGGAAAGTGATGAGCTGACCTACATCATAATGGTCACAAGGCCAAAGTTTGGTTCAACAGGAATCCATGGAAATTAACGAAAATGTGAAAAAACAATCAAGAGGTAACTTTAGTCATGTTAATAGGACTCGCCTGGATTATACCAACATGGATTGCTGCATATATACACACACACATATATATATATATATATATATACACACACAGAAATATGTAGGGAATATTTAATGTATGCCCTCTCTCTCTCTTTCGCTCTCTCTCTCTCTCTCTATATATATATATATATAAAACATCATCACTTGATAAGACACCAGAGGTAAGAAACAAAATGGCTATATATATATATATATATATATATATATATATATATATATATATATATATATATAAATAAAACATCATCACTTGATAAGACACGGAGGTGTTGAAACAAAATAGCTATTTTTGTAATGATTTTATAACATATTTATGTTATAATTTTTAAATAAATAATTATATATATATATATATATATATATATATATATATATATATAACACACACAGAAATATCTAGGAATATTTAATGTATGCTATATATATATAAAAACACACAGAGAAATATCTAGGGAATATTTAATGTATGCTATATATATAAACACACAGAGAAATATCTATGGAATATTTAATGTATGCTATATATATATATATATATATATATACACACACACACACATAGAAATATCAAGGAACATTTAATCTATACATACATATATATATATATATATATATATATATTTAAAGATATTTTTGTAGGTACAAAATTTAATGATCGAAATAAAAGTATAAAATTTAATATTACAAGACATATTAAATACAAAAATAAAAAATAAAAAAATCACAACAACAGGGGGGAAGCAACTTTGTAGCTGAGTGGTATAGCATGTTAGATCAAATGACAGTTCCGTGTGGGACACAGATTTGATTCCTGTTGGAGGACTCATATTTTCTACAAAATTTCTCAGGCATTCATGCTGGTAAATGTAATTAATACTGTTTATTATAAACAGAGCATTTGCATAAATAATTGTATCTATAAAATAATGTATAAACAGAAAATATATTAAAATAATTGTTGGACTTAGTCCATTTCATAATATATGTTGTCATTTGTATATGTTAAGATACACTTCAAGCAGATATGATCATTCAAGAAAGATTGTAGGAAATTTGTTGTTTAAAAACGGTAATTTGGACTTTTCTAAGAAGACACTTCCTCTGTATCTGAGTAGTATAGTACATCAGATCAAATGATGGTTCCATGTAGGACACAGGTTTGATTCCTGTCAGATTTTCCACAAAATTTCTCAGACATTCAGGTTGGTAAATGTAATTAATACTGTTTATTATAAACAGAGAATTTATTTAAATAATTGTATCTATAAAAATAACATATAAACAGAAAATATATTAAAATACATACACACGAAAAATCCCTTAGAGCATTTGACTTTTGTCAAAAGACAGTCTGCTGGAACTTATATTAAAGCCTAAATATTGCATATAAACTTTTGCAAAGTACCAAGGACTGAATTTTGCTCTAACTTGGGCAGCCATATTGTCAGAATGCCACTTCAAAGCAGTAGAATTTGCCTCTCTAGAAAAAAGAAACTCCAACAGAAAGCCTGCAACCCCTGAATCTTACTCTTATTATCCCACCTTGGTAGACTATGAGATATAAACTCCTGGTTTAAAGGGTGGGCTATGTCATCTAAATGTCATACCTCACCTTAAAACTTATTTAAATAAAAATTTAGTAGTTCAATCCCTTGGCAGAGTAGTACAGACTTAAACTTAATGTAAGCAGGTGAGCAATAACTGAGCAGTACTAAAAAATGAGTGAGATTATATATCCCTATCTTTGTAGATTAAGCAAAGTGTTCAGCTCAAAATTCCATAAAAGTTACCTGAAGAAGGCCAAAAGGTTCAATGATCAAAACATTACGATAACAGCAAAAATGAGAACATTAGCCTAAATGTAAATAATAATAACTCCTCATTCCAGAAATCCAGACAGAAAATACTCCTGCTTCCTTTGAAAGTAAAAGCATTTTTTATGTCACATCTGGTTTGGTGCTTCTATATAGAGATTTTTGATAAAATCCAAAGAATCTATAATGTTATTAGTTCTGACATGGCATCTTGGCTTCATTTTCCTACCACCATAATGTAGATTTCCTGTGCCTTTTCTAGTAATTGTTCTGATAAGCTTTCTTCTTTGGTACCTCAACTTTACAAATTTAAGTGCAGTACTAGATTGGCAGCTAGGTCTCTCATTTTATAGTTGAAATTGCTAGATGTAATTGTAAGTTCTATGTTAACAGTTTCTTTTCTCACATGTGAATCTCACTTCCAGCTTCTTGCTTTTCTCTTAACTTTGCACTTAAATTTTTGAAAATCAATGTCAATTGTTATCTTCTGTCTTCTTAATTCCTGTTTATTTATTGTCCCCTCTTCTTAATAATGTTTTTCTTTTTCTCATATTCTTTCAAACTCAGTAACTCCTTACATCTTAGTGGTTTGATGACTTTGCTTGGGGTGGAATGATTAAAAAAAATGTCATACTCATCTTCATTAATTTGTTTTTTTATGTGTTTATTCCTACAGACTTCTTGTGGAGTGTGGGGAGGACCACAAGCACACTAAGTGCTATTAAATTTCCATTAGCAAGTGAATTTTTATGAGACCCAACTTGTACTGCTTTACAGTGCTAAAGGGCTTTATTTTAGTATTTAGTAAGGGAGAAGTGGATTCAAGCCTTTCTGAGAGCATTAAGGTGTAAAGTGAACTTAAGCTGTACAGACTGAAGTTTGAAGACATTTTGTAATACCATCCTCTGTGCCATATATTGTTACACAACCTGTACCTCCACAGTTTTTTTTTAATTTCTTGTAAACATTTTTTAATGTTTTCATAAAAGAGTTCTATTATTACTTACGTCCTGACTTTCTTTCTGATTTAGTTTTAGTAGGGTGTGGCTGTGTTTCAGTTTTCACTTCTGTTTGTGACGCATTCACTGCTGATGGTTGGCTCGATAAACCCGTTGCAGTTGATCTGTAAATACTACAGAAGAACTTCATGTTAACAATGCTGACTATTGATATTTACAAAGCTTAGCTTAGTATGACACAAGGCTGAAAAAGTGGAGCACCTATAAAAATCAAACTTGAATTTCTGCCAGACTAGCTTTTTCATCCTCATTCTAAGCCAAATTCCTAGACAATGCCAAGTATTAATAAAAGCAGAAAAGTATTTTGCAATGCTGCAAATGTTTCCCTTCAAATCAAACCCTAACATTGTGATCTTTAACAAATTTAGGAAATCCTCAGGTAATAATATGAGACATATTCTCATATATATATATATATATATATATATATATATATATATATATTATCATTATTATAAAAAACATGAAGCCTTAAAAAGCCATGAGATTATATTTATTTCATTGAGGTTGGAAAATTGACCTCAACTCTTCAGATCTTGTAATACAAATAAAAATGGAAAAGATTTCTCCAGACCTAAAAAACAAATTTATGCAAATATGCAGATCTAACTTTGTATATCTAAGATTGTGAAAGGGGAGGTGATGAAAGAGATAGTATGTATTCAGAAAGAGGGGGAAATAGAGAAAATATTTAAAAATTGAATGTGAGACAAATAGATGTTATTTTTAGTATTAACTGATATTTTGGGCTGTTGGTGTGGGGACCTAATTTAGATACACATTACGGAACGAAATGGTTACATCCATGTTGACATTTGAAAATACATAAAAAAAGAAAAGGAAAAAGAAATGAAAGGGAATTCAATGAAAGTTGGAAATTTGGCAATATTTTTGTGTGCAATCAAAATTATATTCTGTCTGGTTATGATTAAGACACTTATGCTATTCATTGTTTTTTAAAAAAGAAAGAAAAAGGAAAAAAAAGAAAAAAATGAGGCCTTTAATATTAATAATAATGTGTAGTTAAGAGCTTTCTGAAAAATTATGTAAACCGTTCCTAAAAATTTCAAATCTAATCTAAAAATAGGATCTCATTTAAAATAAATATAAAATAAAATAATACTAATTATTGCTCTGTCTCTGACATAGAGCTCTCCCTGGATCTATATTCTTTAGGAAATATCCACACTGATTACCAATATTATCATTTTATGTATATATATATATATATATATATATATATATGCATAAAAAGACAAGACAAGAAAAAAAAAGAGGAAAAAACTATTCTTAGCTGACATGATTCATCCTCTAAGGGACTTTATCAAAGCAAATGTAAGGGTTCATTTTGTTGCACATGTTTATACACAAGAGCAAGGATGTCATTGGTTTATGGAGGCTTTTAAATTTGAGAAAGTTCATGAATACTCATCAGATAGTTGAAAGGTCAGTCAAAACATGTCCATAGTTTTTCCTCTTGTCTTTTTATTAATTCTGTTCCTTCACAGATACACTTTATCTGAATATATATATATATATACTTTACAGATGAACAATTAGAATTGATATTTATTTATTTCTCTTAATTTACAGATGTAAGTAAAGAAGAATGTATAAATAAGTGCATATTTTAGATGGTGTTGGTTCCAATCACATAGGAATGATTGCTAAAAAAATTTCCCTCCTTGAATTTATAGACAAATCCTACTAATGTATGCTGGGATTTGTTCCTAACCAATAAAAATGAACTGCTTTTCATCTGCCATATTTTTTTTCTTTCATGTATTGAAGTCAGAATGCTAGAACCGCTTAACTGTATCTCTTTTGCATATAAACACAGTTCTTATTTTGTGATTTTTTTCTTATTACTGTTGCTTTGCCTAGTTTTGACTTATATATATATATATATATATATATATATATATATATATATATATATATTGTTTGCTTAGTATTATTTTGTCCTGTTCTTTTATTTCCTTTTCTCATCATTTATTAAGAACTTTATCAATTCAGTTTCATGAGCATTTTGCCAATTATTTAACCATAGCCAATTTCACTACAGATGAGTGTTTTAAAAATTGTAGTTCATATCAGTAACCTTTTTAATATTGGTCTGAAACAAATATCAAATAAACATCAAGCCAGTAGATATAAATTTTGACTGTCTAAAAGAATAATGATGTTTATTCAAACACATGTACCACTATATATAGCATTTATAGTAATAAAAATTTCACTATATAAACATCTAAGATTATAGTTAGAAATAGTGAATATATTGTTTAAAGATATTTTTCACTTCTTTGATTATGAGCAAGGAATAAATTATGTAATAATGTTGCAATAAGGTTAACTTTAGTCCCTCCATTTTGCTTGGTCTATTTTTTTTTCTCTGAGCTATGTCTCTTCAGGATGTTGGTGAACATGACTCACCACAATTTCCTGTCCTTTGTAGCACTTAGTAAATTTTTTTTTTTTTTCGTGTCTCTCTTAAACCCTGTTCTGCCATCCATTTTCATAAATACGTTAGGTAGCTTATTCGCTGTTTTACTCAGTTCCTCTTGTCTTCAATTGCATTTTGCTCTGTGTATTTCATTTTTAAAAAAATATGGGAAAAATTAATATTATTAATTACAAAAAAAAAAAAGGATTTTTCTAACAGGATAACATTTCAGTGCAAAAGCTACATTATTTTCAAATTAAAATATTAATAGGTACAACATTCATTGATTTTCTTAATTTTTTTTTTAATACCAGGAATCATGCCTCTCTACAGATTCTATTTCTTTATGGGAATGATAGTCATATGGCTTACCATTGCCTTACCACAGCTTTTGATTTAGAATTAGCCTTCACTTAGACTAGTTGACAACCTGGGCTAGAGAGCCTAGCTTTCAGCATTCAATTTATTTAGTACTGGACAAGACACAGTGTTAAAGAAAAAAATATAATATTATATATATATATATAATTTATAAAAATAATATTACATAATATAATTTATATATTTATGATATTTCTACATAAATTTTAGGACTTGAAATACTTTTTAGACTTTTTTAGAGATTTAAGCAATTCAATGCTAAAATAATTTCAAATGTATTTTAGATATATGAAAAGGGAGAGAGAGAGAAAGAGACTTTAAGTACAAAGAAATGACTTTGCTTATTTTTATTTAATTTATACAATCACAATACAAACTGTTTTGAAAGAAATTTGTGAATAGTATGTATACAGTTTACAGAAAGAAGTTCTCACAAAATTAAAATAATCATGTATTATATTCATGTATGCTTTTCAGAATGTATTTTAAATAATTTAAATAGTTTTTTGAAGTTTCAATATTGGTTTAATTGCTAGAAAATAGCAGAATGTCAGTCATAAAAATTACTTTTTCATAATTAAAGCAGATTTTAAACTGTTCAGTTTTTAATGTCATTCAACTTTGGTTGTAAACTCTGTAATTAAAATTTTTCTAAAAATAAAGTAGAAATTATAGAAATATAGTATTTAACAAAAATTAGTTAATTAAAGATTATTTAATTGGATTTTGAAAAAAACTAAGTTACTTTTTACTGAAAAATATATTTGTCTCCAGCAGGTGTCTTAAATGTCAACTCAGGTTTAAAGGTCAAGTAGGTGATGAATCAGCTTTTCTTACTGATATGTGATAAATAAATAAAGACAATTAAAGCAACAAGTGCTTTACAAGAAGAACCATAACTGATTGGAATTTGAAGAGACTGAATTTCAAATACATGACTGTAATACAAATGTCACGTTGCTTCTTGGAAAAATCATCAAATTAAAAATATTAGCACTTTTCATTTCTAAAAATAATAGCACTTTTTAATAATTTTTTATACTATTTATTATTATATTATTTTAATGATTTATTTAATTGTTTTAATGATCTTTTTCATATGATTTCTCTTCCTTTTCTTGCTTATGACCATATCATGTTGAAACATTGGTTCTTGTTTGATCACTGAAGTTAAATAATATCAAGACTGGTCAGTACCTAGATGGGTGAACACTTAGGATTACCATTTGGGATTACCAGGAGCTGTAAGCTTGGATGTGAAATGGATAATGTCTTGGATTTGGAAATTGGAGAGCTGAGTTCCAATTACAGTTGGGTTCATTATATTCATTTATGCACAAATACCTTTGGAAAAGGCATGAATCCACCTCTTCTTCCCCACTAGCTATAGGTTAAATAGTAGGACTTGTATCAGTAAATACCTATTATTTCCGAAACAATTCTTACAATCTATAAATATTTTCTGGCTTTAAATAACCTGCAAAATGTTGATAATCCATAAAAAACAAATCATTCATTCTTCCTTTTATTTTCTATTTATTTTCATATTCTTTATATTTTCCATCTAATTTTATATGATTATTTTTCATGCAATGAAAATGCTTGAAATAAAACATATTAAAGCTTTTCTTTCAGTACATAAGAAAGTCAATATTATTTGATGAAATAAAGCTGTTTTATTTTTATATTGTACATGCATTTTAGTAATAGAATATATATTTATATTTAACTAAATAAGCTACAATTAAAAATTAAAAACTAAATGATATATCTGTAATATTAAGAAAATTAAAAACTAAATGATATATCTGTAATATTAAGAAAATTAAAAACTAAATGATACATCTATAATATTTTAAATGTTGTATTTGAAAATCTCTTGGTATTAATGCTATAAAAATTCCCTACAGTAATAACAGATAGTTCTAATGTCTCCGCCTAAACTCTGAAGTTTTATTTACTTTTATTTTTTTTTTTTTTGTCTCAATAGGTATAGATAGGTTCACACATCTCCCCAGATTTTTAAATTAGAAATTTATCCTTTTTTCCTGTTTAGGATTTGGTTTCTGGTTCCTTTACCTAAAGTCTTCCCATTTTCTTTTATTCCTTTGCATCTTAGTGGCATTATCACCTTGCTTGGGTTGAATTGATTAAAAAAATAGCTTTTTTACAAGAATTTCACATGTGGAGTGGAACTTTGTTGAAAAGAAAGGTAGTTTCATGCCTTAGAAATTGATGATAGAAAAAGCTATCATAGTCACAACTTATGTCAACTGAAATCACTAAGTAAACTTTTTGTATTTTTCATTTATTTATTTTTTGTTACTATTTTTTTTTAAAAAGTTACTTCTTTGAAGGAACCTATAACCCTAAACTTAAGATTTCATAACTGTAAACTTCCTGTGAGTTCAAGACCTGAGGTCAGTTTTACAGTTGAAACATTGCTTTGAGGAGTTGGAAGACCTCTACAGATAGTTTGGTAATCTGTCTGGGAGAAGAAAGCACTAAAAGAAAACTTACAATCCTTACTCTCATCATTCCAATTTAGTAAACCATGGCACTATAAACTCTTGCCATAGAGTGGATTTGTTCATACTACACTTTATCACCCAAGAAGAAATATATATATATATATATATATATATATATATATATATATATATATATATATAAAACAGAAAGGGACAGTTGAAATTACTGGGAAACATTGTGAGGAAAGAGGCTTGGAAACTCTTACAGGACATATTGAAGGAAAGGAGAGGTACAGAATAACTAGTCCTGGGTATGACAATAAACTACATCTGGCAGCAAGGCCTCTTATAGGGAGATTGAGCATTTTGAGGAGTGTGGAACCACCACTTAATTGCTGTTGTGCACCCTGACCCAGGGTGGTAGCACCTGTTAGGGTCCCAGTTATGGGCAAATAGTGAACACCCAAACAAAAATAAAACACTATGAAAGTATAAAAATGCATTTTTATAGTAAAAATACCAGCAATATATTTTTATATAAAAAATTACTAATAATACATATTTATAGTAAAATTACCAACAATACATTATATAGCAAAATGACCAAAAATACATTTTATCTCCAGTTGAAGGCATACAATTGCATTCAAAATATATTTAGTTGAAGTCATAAAATTGTTCAAAGTATTTAGATTCCAGCATTAAATAACCCATAGAGGTGTTGATATGTCACTAAACAAAATCAACCAAACAACCAACATGAAAGAATTCTTTCATGATATTAATCCATATAATATTCTACAATTTCTTAAAGAAATCAAACTGTATTCCAAAATATAACTTCAACAAAGCAACGTAAAACACACACATCACTGCCTCTAGTAATTATGTCCACACAAGCATATATATGCACAAAAGCTGTATATCATCTACCATGTATTCAATTGTGAAAGTGGAATAACATGCCATATTTTTCTTAATTCAAAGCTTTCCAAAAAATTAAATTTTGTCATAAAATGACTCATAAGGCATTGATATATTGTTAAACAAATCAAATAAAAAAAAAATCAGTGGATAACAGTGAGTAACCTACCTCATAGGTTTGTGTGAATGGATGGCTGAGTGGAGAATAAAGAGGGACAGTAAAGAGTCAAATATTGCTTACCCCCTTAGCATTCAATACACTCAAACCCACCCCATAAATATCAACTCTCAAAGTCTCACTGTTTGCATGACTTACTGCATTATTTGCCACAATCTCTATCTATAAAAGGAAGGGTGTGTGTGTGTGTGTGTGTGTGTGTAACGAATGCATGGCCGCAATTTTTTGATGGATTTGCACCAAAATTTACATGCACATGCTCCAAGTTAGCAAGAAGGCCAAGACCAACTTTGCATTTCCCAACTCCCATCGATAGTGGAAATAATTGATTTTTTAATGCTGCTACGGCAGTTTTCATGTAGTTTGCAGCCATTTTGTACTGGCCAGAGTGAGAGCCAATAGCTGGCTGCCATGAATAGGCAGGAAGATTCTATTGGTTAGCATGAGAGCCAACAGCTGACTGACATGAATGCTAACTAGCATGCAAAAAAAAAATCGATAGCTGCATTCATCACAAGTGTGAAAAATTTAAATCTGCATGGCACTTTACTCCAATTGGCACATTCGCTTGCTTAAACTCAACGTTGATTCTGATTCAACAGAACTGGGTTGGGTGTGAAAAAGTATTTGTTGTTAACATTCTTTTTTCATTCGGTTTTTCCAGTTGCCCCATATAGTGTGGTCAGTAGTTGAACTTGACCAGTACATCCAAACACTTGGTCATGGTGACTTCATGCTAGCACAGTAAAATTATATATAATTATATATAAACTATACTTATATCTGAATATTGTCAAATGATATTTTTATATATTATTTGCTTATATACTATATCTATCCCATAATAGTTAAATCTGCATAATTTTCTTTTGGTTATTGGTATTACTTATTAAATATTATATCATAGCAACAGCTTCATGTTAAGTTTAAACAAAGTGAACTGTTCAAAGGTAAGCAAGAATTTAAATTTTCAAAATTCCATCTTCTTTAGCAGATAATAGGAACTTTAAGAAAAATTAAGACAACATGAAAATAAACCATTTAGAACACATTTAATGTAACTCTAAGCCTATTTTAAATGCTAAAAAATCATACTTAAATGTAAATTAAATTATTTAAATATTAGCCAAAATTAAGAGTTACAAGCCCTGAATTAATAAACTATTAATATTTAATTTTTATTAAGTTTATCTTTATTTTATAAATATACACTACGATCCAAAAGTTTGAGGTTACCCTTGGTTATTTTTTAAATTTGCCCAAAGGGTATTTTTGTACTTTAAATGAGAGAAAATTATTGTACATGGTTAAAAAAGTGAGACATGATTTTTTATTAGAAATTTTATTATGACAAAAAGAAAAAAAGCATTTTATGATTAAATTTTGCTCTTGTCAAAATATCCTCCTTTAGCCTTGATTACTGCAGCACAAATTTTTGGCATTCATTGCAAAAGTTTCTCAAAGTATAAGTTTAATAATTGATTCCATTCTTTTTTCAATGACTCTAAGAGTTCTTTTTCATTTTGTTTTTTACACTTCTGTCAAGTTCATTCCATGCTAATTCTGAAGGTGGCTTCAAACTTTTTAACTGTAGTGTAAGTATTTTAAGACAGATTATATACACTCACTGTAACAGCTATTATGGGACAGAGATGATATTATTTTCATAAAAATCTAGTGACTGAATCAAAACGGAAGAAAGAAAACTATTATTCAGATTTTCATTTTGAACATATTACCAGAGAAAATTAAATGAGGAACATTTTATAAAATTTTAAAGCTTGCCAAACATAGCTTTTGCAATTGGTACAGTTAAGCTTGCTAATTCAAAAAGAAAAGAAAGAATTGCCAGGACACAAAAATGAAAAACAAGACTCAGGTGATCAATTGCTTTAGAAAAAAATCAAATAGTACTGAACCATTTGATAATTGTTTTTCTCACCTGAAATTTTCAGGAAGTCTTCTGTTTCTAGTGTAATCCATTGATGGTGGTGATGTGTTTGAACTTGTTTCCTGTAACAAACTAATTTCATTACCAACTGCAGAGAAATATTAAAGGTCTGTACAAAAGTAGAGAATTTTATTTGGCATCAAAGGAAATGGTCTGTTGATTTTTTAATAGAACCATTCCTAACTCTTTTGATTTTGTTGCAAGTAAAGGAAACTCATTTGCATTTATTCATTTTTATATAACTAGAATAAACTTAAATTTTAATGATAGATATTATGAAACATATTGTAAAATATATAGCCATCAGATGAACAACACAAAGTGACATTTATTATAAAAATCTTGAAAATTCAGCCTTTGATCCTTGCATGTAAAATTTATATAAAATTATTAAATCATGAAAGATGCCATAGAAAGAAAGTTATGCCTTTTAGTCATGTTCTATTAAACTATTTTTGAATTTATTATCAATCTCAGACTTTCATTATTGAATACAAAATTTTGATAAGCAGAATATAAAATTACAATTTATGGCAATATTGAAACACTGGTTCCTGTATGATCACCAAAGTTAAGTAACATTGAGCCTGGTCAGTACCTAGATGGGTAACTGCTTGGGAATACCAGGTACTGTAAGCTTGGATGTGTGGGTGGTGTAATGGATAATAACTTAGAATTGTTAATTGTTGAGCCAAGTTCCAATTCCTGTTGGGTTTATTATATTCACTTACATGCAAATACCCTTGGGAACAATATGAATCCACCTTTTCTCCCCTAGTTATGGGTTAATTAGTAAGACTTGTATCACTAAATCATTATTATCTTCCCTAAACCCCACAAAAATTCTTACAATGTAAAAATATTTTTTGGCTTTAAATAACCTGCAAAGGATTGTTATGCTATATAAAATTAGAAAAAAATCTATGTGAAAACAATGAGTTAAATGGAAATGCACATTTTATATTAAAATATGATCTTATTTCTGGTTGTCTTTTTATAATGCGCCCTGTTGGCTGGGGCTTCAGAATATGCCAATTGCACCTCTGCAGAGGGGTAAGACCCCCCCACCAAATGAGGGGTCCTGGGTAAGACGATAAACTAAATCTGACAGCAAGGCCTCTGTTCAGGAGGTTTTGAGGAGCATGGAACCACCTCTTAACTGCTAGTGTTCCCAGGTTCACCCTGACCTGGGGTGGTAGCACCTGTTAGGGGTCTCAGCTATGGGCAAATAGTTAACACCCAAACTGGGGTCAAAACACTATGAAAGTGTAAAAATAGATTCTAATATAAGAAATACATTTTTGTAAAAAAATTATTACCAGCAATACATTTTTGAAGAAAAAAAAATATTACCAGCAATATATGTTTGAAAAAAATATTGCCAGCAATAAAAATCTTGTCAACATTAAATAACCGTTGATATGCTGTAAAACAAAACAAACCAAACTTTTTATAATGGTTTAGGTTAAACCAATCTTCAAATGTTGAAATTGATAATTTGTATATTTCATATTTAAAATAAATGTAATTTCAGTATCTGTCTATATTTCTGAGATGAGGTATTATGTACACTATTTAAATTATTCAGACTATTGTCTTCATCTTTGTTGCCATATTTATTACAACGTTTTGGCCGTTGTAAGCTCCGGCCTTCTTCAGGTGATTGGAATGTTGAAGTGAAACCTTTATTTCGCTCTCTGGGGTAGATTGTTCTAGTTCCACGTGCCATGTCTAATGGATGTCATTTATCAGTCATCTCCTGTTAATTCCCCTCTCCAAGTTCTCCACCGCCTTAACCGGGTATTGAATTCACACTCTTTGAGTCCTGTCACTGGATCTAACTAACACCTTTTATCCACTGTGCCATGTGTCCTTGAGACATGGCATGTGGAACTAGAACAGTTTACCCCAGTGAGTGAAATAAAGGGTTCAGTCCGACATTCCAACTACCTGAAGAAGGCCGGAGCGTACAATGGCTGAAATGTTGTAATAAATATGGTGACAAAGGTTAGGACAATAGTCTGAATAATGTAAATGTAATTTCAATTCAAATATTATTCTGATGTATCAAAAGTAATTTTTTTTTTACAAGACTCTACTCCAAAAGCTTATTTTATGTACATATCTACAAATAACCTCCAATTCAAGTATATTATTAATATTATTATATCATTATCAATACCATCCAACTTTACTTTTTGTTTCATATGTTATAATGGTAGATATGAGTATCAAGATTTTGGTAAGTCTGACCCTTTATTTTAAATTGAAAATGCTGTTACAGTTACTCATAGAATTCCAGAAGTAGATGGAAATAAAACGTTCCCTGATCATACTGTCCAAAAGCATTTAAAGGGTAGTGTTTTTACTCTTGAAGTAAAGCTCAGTAGTGGATGAACAAAAGTTATCAATTATACTTTAAGTTAATGATACATGGTGGAGAGGAATCTGACCACCCTTACTTGAAAACTTTAAGATCTAGGACCATCAAAAGATACCATGTGAAGAGCATTGTATAAGCAGACACACACTTTATGTATATTACTGTTGCTCATGCAATAC